AGAGTAAGTGCAAGGTGAATTCTGCTGGAGAATTGGTGTTGCTGAAGTGCTCTGGTTGAGTATGACTGTGTGGACACACACAGAGCTAATGAGAGCTAATTTTTGCAAACAGTGATGCCTGCCAAAAACAGTTCACTTCCTGAGAACTGACACCAGGCGGCTCTACTTTTTGCAGTTGCAGCAATTTTTTATTGTCAGATTTGCTGACAGCCAGCGCATGCTGTAAGAGACTGTTTTGTAAGTTACTTCTTTATCTTTTCTTTACCTGTGATATGATGCTCTTTTAGAACTGCTGTAATGAGATTTGAATACAGTTGCATTTCATCACCTCCTTATGCAGTTACTGTCTTCCAAGGCAATTTCTATTAAGAGCAGCTCTCCAAATGCTTACAGCTCAGAGAAGAATGAATGGAGTTCCTAATTATGGCTGAATTTTTGCAGGTAGTTTCTCAAGATGGCAGCACAGGCTTCTTGACCTGTCTGTACAGTTTGGGGCTGGGATTCTAGTTCTGTATGCCAGTTCTGTAAGAAACTGGTTTGGGCTGAGCTTGTCACATTTCTTCAATAAAGAGGACCTTGTTGTCATCTATTTTATATCCTGGACATTGGTATACTGTGCAAAATTTGTTCCCAGAAGGGTGATCTGTTGGATCAGTCCTGTTGTAAATTCTACGCATATATAATAAACAATCTTTTGTTTCATGTTTACAGAAAAGGTTGTGCTCAAACCTCATGATGTTTCAGTGTTTACAACTCTCAGTGTTAATGGACGGCTTTTTGCTTGCCCACGTGATCAGTTCGATTCATTGGTATGTATGTATGCAGTTCTCAGGAAGTTCAATTCTTCAGTTTATTTGAACACTCGTCCCTTTTTGCATTATCAGTGCTTTAGGTAAAAACTAGTGGAAAAATTCACAACAAAGGGCTTGTCACAGTGCTATGGGATAAGCCCTGAAATTAAAACAAGGTAATGTTACAATTTCCTAAACTAAAGCAGAAATCCATCTGATCCACGTGACAGTACTTGATCCCAGTATTCTCTGTGTCACACTGAGCATTTAGGAAGAACTGAGTATTGTCAGTAAGACATGCAGTAATTCCTGATGACAGAAGTATCTCCTCAAAGTCACAGGGATGTATTCTTGAAGGTAGATCTTACCAATTAAAGTATTCTGGAGACTTGATTCCAACAGTAAATTTCTTAAAATCTTTTATTTCTCAGCCCCACAAAATACTGTGTCAAAATCTCAGATGATTCTAAGTAGAATCACAGAAAATACTCCTGGTAGAAAGTCTGTTTTTTCTTAGGTAGAATTGTTCATAAGTACTTACGGTTTATACAGTAATTCTAACGATCTCCATGGGGTCTGCTTTTATAGTGTGATCTGCTGTACTTTTTGTTCCTTTTATTTCATTAAAAACAAATGTCATTGCCAAGTCATGTCAGCATGAACTCTATTACTTCTAGCCTTGTTTCAGCCTCCTGTATGCTTTTAACAGGCCACTTAGTATGTATGCCTGATTTCTTTTATAGATATGGTAAAATCTATGCTTTGCTGCTGCTTTCAATTTCATAACCAGGGAATGCACATCCAGCATAGTGTAGTTCCATGCAGAGATACCTCTTGTTCAGTTTATTAAATTCTGGTGTTCCCTTAAGGTTAATTAATCTTGCCAAGTAGATACCCTCATGGGGCATGCTAGTCTAAAGCAGGGGTGTTGCGTCAGTACAGCTAAGCTGGGTACTTTTATATGGCTCTGCATTGTCCGTGTAGACATAGCTTTGGCAGCAAATTGTCAGGACTTTCTGTGCCTTTTCCCCTGTGGTATTTACCATGGATCAAGTACTCGAAATGCTACAGGGAGCTCTAAGATACAGGGCTGCAGTGTGCTTGTTTTCATCAACTGGACGGACTTCAGTAGGATTAGGGAGGAACACTCCGCACCTTAAAAAAGGTTCTCAACACTGCATAGCAGAATACATCCCCTTATCAGCTGCATTTTTTCAAAGAGGTATAAAAAAATTGAAAAACGTTACAACCTTACCTGCCTCCCAGTTTAATCCTTTCACGTTCCAATTTCTGGCTGCTGCCTGTGCATGTGCATTTATTCACATTACGCTTGACAGTTCCCATGTGAAAATTGTTCTGGGTTAGATGAATTTTCAAATATACAATGAGTTTACACCTAAGTGCTTCTTTCCTAGCTTTGGAAAATATGTGTTTGTTATGGTAACAGCTATGTTGTGTTTGTCTCCAAATAGGGGAAATAAGCCCTCTTTCAGTCTGTGGGCAATTCTCTTTCCACAGATTTCCACAAATTAGGATTTTCTACACAAAACTGCTGTACTTTTAATTCGTACTCTGTCTTCAACTAAAGAAATTTTGTGTTTGTGCAAATCCCAATTCAGAGCAATCTGCAGGCTGTTATAAGATCGATGGCTGTCCTGATTTTTTTTAGATAGTACTTTGCTTATATACACTATTTTTTAAAATTGTCGATGGAGCTTTTAAGGTAATAATGCCTATGGTTTAGTTTAATAATTCTCCCTAGAGTACAAGGCAAGAACTCATACAGAAATAAAGCTCCTACATACTGTGTGTTACTGACAAAGTGATCTGCTGTGTTAATCCAGTCAGTCCTTTTTCTATTGGTAATATAATATTCTTACATAAAAGGGGATTCATTTAGTAAGCTCAGTTTTTATATTGCAGTATGTAAATACGGTCTGTTAGTCTCGCAGACTCTATTGAGTTTGTACTCAGAAAGGAGCCTGTTGACAATTCCCTGCTCTGTAATTGTCTAACAAAGACCCTATGAGAAATTGAGAAACTTGTACGTGAGCTCTACTGCCCTCTCCTGGAAACAAAACAATTAAAACGTGGGTTCACAGGAAGCTTTACTGATGTACGGCATTTGAATTTGCAGGAGGGTTGGTTGTTAGTATTTTAGCAGCGCTGGTTCAAACACTTTGACCCTAATATATACAACAGACTACTTCAAATCTGACTTGAACTCAAGCCGTGTTTTAAATCTCTCTTTAATATAAGATTTACTTGTGTGTGCAAAACTGTAGAACACATCTCATTTATTGCGTGGTATGGAAGTGTCTTTCAAAACTGTTTTATACTTGAATGATTTAAAGGATTCTTTCCCGTAAGACTGTGTGTGCATATAATTTTAATTAGCATAGCCAGGAGTTTTGCAATCACAAATAGTGCATCCCTGTACTGTCAAAGAGAAAGTATGAGGCTTATTTTATAAATGATCAGAAGACCTTGCAATCACTGCAGATTTCTGAAGTATGGCAGATGTAATAATTCTTATCATTAGAATAAGTAATCTGCAAAAGTATTTGGCTTGTGCGTTGTGGCCTAGTTATTTGTGTATGTGAAAAAGGAAACTGATAACAAAAGCTTTGTGGAAAGACCTATGCTCCTAAGCAAACAGACATGCTTTAATTAGCACAATGTGTATTGAAGTATTCATTTCTGGCTTCAAGTTTTAGAACAATGCTAAAAATAACACACTGAGAACAGTCTGTTTTATTTCCTTACAGTGCCTCTGAAAAGCTTTCAGAATTTTCCTGACTATCCTGTGCATAGTGGATGCTGATTTTGCACAGGGCTTCTCATTTCCTAATGCCAGCCTGTGGTTAAAAGCAAATTTCAGTTTTACTATTAGAAACATGCTTAGGAAAGTGGTCACAGTGAAGAAAAAAAATCAGAAGCATTATAGAAAAAAAGCACCAATCATGCACTTTAGTATTTCTAAAATATTTTTATACCATTTTTCCATTTGTAGGCACCATTACCAGAACAAGAAGGACCATCTACGGGTACAGTGGGGACGTTCGAACTGATGAGCTCCAAAGACTTAGCACATCAGATGACAATTTATGACTGGGAGCTCTTCAACTGTGTGCATGAGGTATGAGGATCTATCTCTTCAGCAGATTAGAAGCTGTTAGAAAATGTTTAGTTGTACATTTGTAGGTTTGTGTATTATTTGCAAAACTTTCTCTAAGCTTGATTTTCAAAAATACTACAATAAAGCCACCTACAAGTTTTGAAAGTATAAGGCATTCTTAATTTTATAGGCGAAATGCAAAAATAAAGCTAAGCTTCTCCTGAACATGTGTTGCTTATTGAATTACTTTTGTATGTTTTAAGGTATTAAGCTATTTATACATAGTCTGTAGTTACGCTTTTAGTGTGTCTCAGCTATTGTCTACTGGATTTGCAACCTGAATCCTTGTCATCTGTAAAGCAATAAACGTAAACTGCAGAGCAAGTTTCAGGCTAGAGGTCATTCTTAGCCTCCTTCCTCTGTCCAAAAGATGAGATTTCTAAAAAAAAATCCCAAACTGTTTTCTTTTTCCTAGCTGGAATTGATCTATCACACTTTTGGAAGGCACAATTTTAAAAAGACCACAGCAAATCTGGACTTGTTTTTAAGAAGATTTAATGAAATTCAGTTCTGGGTGGTCACTGAGATTTGTCTTTGCTCTCAACTCAGCAAGCGTGTTCAGCTGTTAAAGAAGTATATTAAGGTAGCAGCCCAGTAAGTATACAATCATCTGTGAGCTGGAAATGAGGTTCAGTACAGTCAATTTGTTGTTATTTTTCTTTTTTATTTTCAGACAGCCACACACAGTAGAGTTTAAAATGTTCTCTATTTTTGAGTAAATATATTTCAGTTCATTAGGAGAATCCTTCATTTACCCTTACATGCATTAGAAAATATTAATACGCAAATTAGTAAATATTAACAAAACTGAGCCTTAATTTTCCTGAGAACAGAAGTATTTCTGGTGCTGTTCAGGAAAACCATTCTCAGAATTGCCCCGAGTGGGAAAAAAGAGAGGCGAAAGCAAAGAGATGTAGTATGGAGGTGACAAGGCTCATGTTACCTTCAGTCTGCTTGATATATTTTTCTAATACTTTTGTTTAAAAAGGCAACAATATGAATGTCCTTTTTTGTTACTAACTGCTGGGTCTGAGGTTAGATAGCAGGCAATTCTTGCTGTCTTCTATTTTTTAATTCATATTAAAACTTAAACTTTTTGGAGCCTTCATGCCAAAGATGTCAGCCTTGACTCCTTATCACTGAAGTCCAGGGCAAGGGTGTGACTGACTTCAGAGGGAGCAGGGGCATGCCCCTGCCCTGCATAGCTATGGTTTTTTATCACTGTTAGCCTCTTCCTTCCTTTCCAGTTCGTGGTGTATTTATTACATTCATCGCCATCTGAACAAACAGGTCGCTGAGGTGTGCACTGAGGAACTGCCTGTTTAAGTGTTTGTCTACAGCTTTGGGCATTGTGACTAGAGGCCTTTAGGCAGTCTTACCAAACAAAGTTATTACTTGCAGCTAAACCATGAGTTTTAAATTTTTTGCATCGTTAAATGTAGTTGTGTGAAGGAAGAGATTACTGTTACTGTGATGCCTCCCTCCTCCCAATTAATAATTCCACATAGCTGAAATCAGTGTTCACATCAAAACTCTGCATCAGCGTGCCTCCCTCCTCCGGGAAGGGTCCCAACTTCCTTCTGGGAGCTGCTTTGGGCCCTCTGGTTGGATAACAGTTGGTCGAAGCTGAATATTTTCAAAATCTAGTGGTGGGCATGCAGGATCAGGTTTATATTTAGAATATAGGATAGAATTTACCTCTTTCGTTTCTAAAAATATATATACCGCATATTCCCTTATCTCATTCCACAGAGCAAAACTGGGAAGCAAGCTGCCCGTCTGGCGGGCTGTGTCCAGGAGAGGGCAGTGGCACCCACACACAGACGTGTCGGGGTCTTTTCTAAACTCAGAGGCATGAAATGGGAAAGTGTTGAAATGTGGTAAATTAAGATACAATAGTAATTTCCGTAAACACTTGAAATCAAGTATCCTAAAAATTACAGTTAAACATCTCCTTAATAAACCACCCTAGCCCATGGGTTCCTCAGTGTCATGGGTTTAATCCTATGCTATTTACAACAGCTTGACAACCTCCTGTTTACTTCCATGTTTCTGGTATCACTACAATGCTAAAAATAAATAGCTAAAAGCGGTCTGCTCTGCTGAGTCCTCTTTGTCTCCTGAAAGCAGAGAAATCCGAAGCACAAGATTTTCCTCCATACAAACCCAGCGGGCAGGTTTAATTGCAGCCGCTGGAAAGGCGCTGGGAAGTTTTGCCAGACTGCTGCCCTCTGTGCAGTGCTGCCATGGTAACAGGTGCTACAGCATGCAGTAAAACAAACACAAAGTGCACCGAAGTTAGAGGGGAGAAAAAGCCAAGGAATTGGATCAAAAGATGCGGGCCCAGGCCTTGAAGCAGTATCTTTGAGGAAGTTTTGCTTGTGAAGAACCTTGAGACCTAATGAGAACTTTACCCTACCTAGAAGTACTAGACTCATTAGAAAAGTGTTCGGGGAGAACAGCTCAGTGCTGCACTATTAATCTTAGGCCTGACTGGTGGTAACGAGATGCCTTGCGCATACCGATTTTTAAAGATAACTGTTACTGAGAACCCTGTTTCAATTCTGTGACGGGGGGCTCAGACGCCTTCGCAGAAGGCACATCATTTTGTATCTGCCACCCCACGCACCCTGTGATTTGTGCTCCCTGTGTGGGCAAGCACAAGGCCAAGTGCTGGCTCCAAGTGCTGTGCATATGTGCTTTCAATTTCAGGAGCTGTTGTTGTCTTTGCATCTGCTGGGAAAGGATGTAGAGGTTACCAGGTTCATTTCTTTTCTCCAGCAATTGTAGGATTAAACTTTCAAACAAAGGGAGAAGCAAACTATATTTCCTACAGTGAGTTCTTCCCATGTTAAGTGTATTAGAAAGGCCTTCTAGAATGTACTTGCACATATTCTTATGGGTATCCACAAACCCAGTTTGTATATATTTCCTCTTTACAGATACATCCACAGGCTATTTAGAAGCCTTCTTGTGTATCACTATACTCAGACACTTTCATTCAGTTTTTGAAAATCATTCTTTCCATGCACATGCATATGTTATAAGCCCAAGGAGCCTGTAAGAAATTTTTCAAGGGTGTGTGCTTACAGGGAAAATGCCAGGATGAATATGCTTGTGTAAGTACCAAGAGATTTTAACCACGTGTGTTTGTGTTGGAGACAAGAGTGTGTGCATATGTGTGTGTTCACAATTCATAAAACTGGAAGATTTTTCCAATACAGTCTGTTTTGGGAAGCAGAGGGACCTCTGCTCTGAGCACACTGTGGTGCTTTGGAGGATCCACTTTCTGGCATTTTACAGGCAGCATACATGCAGTGGAGCCATGCAGCACTGTTTCTCCTTCCTTACAGTGGTCTTCTATCTGGAACTGAGCTATTTAATGTAAAGCCTGTAGACTTTACAGAATATTTGGTGTAGAATGTCATACATCTAGATGGATTTGTCAAATTACATTGCTTAACAGGGTATTTGGCAAAACTTTTCCTTTTTAAAATGAAAAATAGATTCAAATTACATATTGCAGATACATTTGCAGCTGCCTGCTATGTTTGAGCACTACTGCTGTGTGGTACTAATTATTTCTACCGCGCCACAATTTATTCTCAATGTCACAGACTGTGGACAGATATCCCTTTCTGGATTTAGTTGTGCCTGGGGAAGAGGTTATCACTGACAGCCTATGGTGGCTGCTTTTCATCCTTATCTCCCCTCAGATCCACTAATGAGGCACTCCCTGACCTGCTCTAGTCAGAATAACTTGGGGTAGCTTTAGCATTTCAGCTTATCTTCACTAATCTTGCTCACTGTCCCTAATCTGATGTGGGAGAATTTGTATGAGCAGCTCTCCCATAACATCTGAGGGGGCAGCAGTCTCCAACAGACAGACCATCCACCAGATGGGAGAGATTGTTTCTTCATGCGCTCAGTGTTCACACAATGCAGACACAGTGAGGCCCAGATCTAAAGGACTCACCCACTCAATACATCGAGTCTGGTGAAATGGAGGGACAGAAAGAACAGAATAACAATAGGGTGATGTGGCAATTATGGAGTCGGACAGTAGGATGTGATTCTTGTACTAATTTCATCTGGAGCTGAGGATACCTCAGAGGAACTAAGAGCTTCAGCGATGAATAAAAAAATCCATCTGAGAATCATAGCTTGAATCTTGTGAAAGTTTACTTGGTAAACAGCAAAAGAAGCAAAGACTGAGGTGCTGAAATCAGATATTGGCAAATCAGTTGTGAAAAATAGCAAATTATTTGCAGGAACCTAGTGAGACAGATTTATGAGATACAGACTTCGTTCTCTTTCTTCCCTTTCCATTGAGTCCATGAGCCACCTGATGCAGTCCCAGCTGAGCAGTTGTGTGGGCTGTTCTGTCAGGTTGTGTCTACTCCTGCATATGGTGTATTCGATCTTCCATAATACTCAGTTACATGTTCCGGTTTTTCCTGATTGGTAACAAAAGTTCTCCTTTGCATTAGGGATGAAGCGTGACTTAGAGGTCCTAGTGCCCAGGACCTTTTTAATGATGCTGGTAACAAATGGCAGTTCTTTGCTTGAAATATCCTAAAGAGTTCCAGAATCTACAAGTACTAGCTAGAAAACATATACAGCAAGAGAGGTCACTGGCACACAGGCATCTATAGACAACTGGTCTTCTCCCTTTAAAAAGACTCAGTGCCCCTGTAAACTGTGGGCACCCAGTTAAACTGTGATGAAGATCGTCTAGGGACAGCTTCCAGCATTCAGTAGCTGTTCAGAAGCTGTCAGCAAGTTCTACAGCAAATGAGGTTGTAAACCAGTTGCTTCCACTGTTTCTGGTATTCCTTGGGACTGAATTGAGCCCAGTTTCAGGACTGTGTTTCTGGGTAGGGAGGAGCTTCAAAGACTCCTTTAATGTCCTTGCAGAAGCTGGCACCCAGTGAAGTGGAAGCAGGAGGTCATTTCAGGAGGGAGGGGAAAGGAGCCTCCAGAGTGTGGTGAATTACTCACACATTGGTGAAGTGGTGTGCCACAGGTGTGCTGGCCAGGGCTGCCCAAATTCAGTCACATCTACGCTAGATGCCTGGCTTCAGCTCTTTTAAGTTTGTTATATGTACTTCTGCCCTGACTGATATATACAACTTTAAATCTGGCCCTTTGTGTTTCAGCTGTAAAGAATACAAAAATCTGAATTCCTTTTTCGCTATTATTATGGGACTGAGTAATGTTGCTGTGAGCCGTCTCTCATTAACATGGGAGGTAAGTCTTAGCTAAAATCCAATTCCAAGAAGTTTGACTGGGATTTGTGCTTTTAGTTAGCAAAAACATGACTTGGGCCTTTATTATTGATAAAATTAGATCTACTAATTCAGCTCCTGAGCATAAGCCTTTAGCTAAGGCTGACAATTTTTATTAGTAAGGCAGTATACCCACAGATGTGTTGAATACTCACAAGCAGTTAAGAAGAGTGACAACAGCAGCCTCTACTGATGAGCTAAACTGCCCAACAGGATGAGCGAGTTAGCCAGTTAACCTCTTGCATTAGACCATCCTCTGTTTGACTTTACTGATCATTTAGTGAGATCGCTCCATAGATACTTCTCTAAAATCCATCCTCTGTTCATACATATTATTTTCTGATCTCCATATGGACTCTGTTGCCCTATTAAAATGTGGGTTTGTCCTAACCAGTTATGGTTTTCTCTCTGACATGTGTTCCCCTGCTTACTATCAGTTTGGTCTTCATTCTGAGCTTCCACCTTTTTCTGTGGCTTTACTCTTTTGTATGTGAGTATATGAAAAGGGTGCAATGTCCAGCAGGGTGAGGTAGTAAGCACATGTAACCACTAAGAACATACTGGTTGTCAAAAGCAGTGCAGATTTGAATGTGCGTGTATTTTGTTCTTTAGAAATTCAAAATAGTTAGCATGACTGAGGTCATTGGTGCAACTGAGATCAAAATTTGAACACCTTTAAAAAAGTGCTCTGAAATAGGAGATCAGACTAACACATCTGAGAAGACACCAGCCCAGTATTAAAAAGTACATGTTGCAAATGGCATGTACAATCAGTGCTAAAGGCAAAGGTTTGCAGATCAGTTTCTCAAAATAATGACCCTTCATTTGTGGCTACTGAGAGAAATATTTGGGAAAGCGGAGACAGTACAGGACTAGTATGACCAGAGAAGACGGAATTGAATGTATATACTACAGCAATCTGAAATGGGCACAGGGTCTGAGCTGGAGGGGCACAGATCATTTGTAGGTGCCGGGTATGAACTTGAGTTCGGGGAAATGTTACCACAGTCTGGTTCTATAGGGCAGTCAGCTTATCAAGAGAATCTCTGCAGCTTGATTTTTAGCCAGATATATATACAGAATATACTTAAAACCAAACATATCAAGACCTGATTTTTGCTATAGTATCATGCACTTATATTAGTTGCATGCACAAATTAGATATTTGCAGGTGCAAATGTCCAATTATACCACTTATTTCACAAATACCTAATCTGCATGCATATGCAAACTAGGCACACAGTTGTTGGCACACATCATTAAAAATTAGGCCCTTGCTGTGGCACAGTGTAAATATCTTGCTAGGGTACACACTCCAAATGTAGAAAGTATTGCAAAAAATAATTTCTGCGCTATAAAGTCTCTATTAATTTTTAATGTTACCTGCTGCCAGTAGTAGTCTGATTTAATCAGCAAATATAGAGAAATTTCTTATTAAAACTAGAAAGCTGGCATATTCAAGTGTGCATAAAACATTACTGTGATCTCTGAAACTAATTTATAACATATCTTATGGTCTTCACAGTAAAGTTATTTAATATGTATAACATAACATGAGGGGGAAAGAAAATATTTAGTAAAGCCCATCTCATCCCAATCACTGCATGATCAACTGACCATGATTTATTTGGGTAGGTATTGTCGACTGAAAAACTATTCATTAATTTATACCCCAGAAAGCGGTAGAGACCCTTGGCTGCTGGGCATGTCAAGAATGAGCAGTAGTTGGTGATACCTCAGCATGAACAAAAAAACCTCCTGGAAATGCCCAGGCATGGATTTGAATGTTGCAAGGGCGGTTCATCATAGGTATGAATAATTAAGCTGAGCTACCCCTGCACAGGCTGTGTGTAAATTATATTTTCAGCTGGGCTATAACCAGGAATGTCCTGAAACCATTGACTTGAACTTTCACTTACATTCTGAATTCAGTGATTGCAATGTGAGCCAAACAAAGATCTGAATCTAAACATCCCAAAGGAGTAAATTCAAGTTGGGGTTTAAATCAGGATCCAGGTTTCATGGCTGGTCCCGTCTCTATTTATAATCTGGTTGCTAGGAAACATGTTGTATTTTAGATTAGCACATTGTTAGAAATATCTGGCAAAAAGAGCACTTTCCTGACTTAGGGCGTTGTAGAAGGAACTAGCATTTACAGTAAAATTACCACACAAATTGGATTTAATTAACGTTTCTATTTTTGTTTTTATTAACAGAAACTTCCAAGCAAGTTCAAGAAGATCTATGCAGAGTTTGAAAGCTTAATGGTGAATAGCAATAGATCCCTTATTCTATGCACAATCTGAGCTAATTCAGTTTCTGAGTAACTGATTTGAATTCCTTGATTCAGAACATTTTATATGTCCTTGTTTGACTTTAAGAAGTTTATGATCCCATTTTAGAGCTGCTAAAACAAGTATGTATGACTAATAAATTATACTCTTAGGAACCTACTCTGAGATAACTTATGTACCACTCAAAGTTAATCTGGGAACTCAGAAAAGCTTTATCATATGTTTTCCGATAGTACGTATGGGAAATTATGTTTTCCAACCTGGATTTTTCCAGGCAATACATTTTAGTGTTACAACATATGCAAAACTGGATCTGCAGCTGCAAGGAGGGAGGAAGAATGTGTGGTTCCTTTTATGAACAATTTTTTTGTAATCATATCTTACCTTGCTATTTGGTATGAAAAATGTTTGTGTTTAGCAGCTGCATTCTCATCATATAAGCTGTATGGGAGAATGATAAAAGGTGTCTTAGTTTGCAGATGCACTTTTAAAGCCACAGGAGAAAATAATGATTTTAATAAATTCCATGACATCTAAATGAATGCATACAGTGTCTCAATACATATAATAATACATATTAGTAATTATTTGATTTCTCTTTTCTTCTTAAGGATCCATCAAGAAACCATAGGGCCTACAGACTAACTGTAGCTAAATTGGACCCTCCAATAATTCCTTTCATGCCACTACTTATAAAAGGTAAGCTTGGATGTTACCAGAATTATTAACTTGAAAGCTATTTGTCAAATATTTGAAGAATAAGAGTAGCAGCAAGAAAAAGCAAAAATCAATCTCAGTGTGAGGTATGATCTTTTTCCATTATAAAAAGCATGACACAGAGACAAGAAAAACTGCTTTAGTACATCTGAATATCATACCTCAATTTTACTAGTCTCAGAAATACTGCAAATTAAAAACTGAATGTTTTACTTTTATAGCTGCTTTGATTTTTGTAAGGGATAGATAAAATGTTCTGCTGTTTTGTATGGCCATGATTCAGTAATGGGCTTTTATGTGGCTTTTATTTCTATACAGACATGACGTTTACTCATGAGGGAAACAAGACATTCACTGACAATCTAGTAAACTTTGAAAAAATGGTATGTATGATATATTTGAAATGAAAATTTAAAACGAACTCCTTGTTCATCTCTTCAAGAGTGAACTTCTCAACAATGACTTCCAGGGCTAGGGAAAGTGAAGGCAGAACCAAGAGCTGGCAAAAATAATCTGTGTTGTGCACAGCGCCTGGGACCTCTGGTTTATGGAAACCCTCACAGAAGTGGAGAAGAAACTGCCCACTGAGCCATGCACAGCCAAAATGTTTCCTAGGAGAGGCAGCAGCAGTGACAGGAAGCAGAGCTGTTAGAGACAATTTTTAACAGCCAGTTTGGGACCAAGCTGTGATTTTAACTGCTGTTCCTTCAAACAGGACTGAACTGCCTCAGGCTGGGATAGTTCTGCATTGCTCCTCAGAGAAGAAAAGGAGCTTTAATACAGAACGTGCACAACATCTTATTTTCTTCTTTCCTTTAACAAGTGAAAGGAGACTTCTGTGACTTGATTGCTTTCATATTGGAAAGGGGGATCAATGATAGAAGGCTAGGTTATGCTCAAATTTGATTTATTTTAAATCCTGCACTTAAGCTGTCATCATTTCAAACACCGTTGTCAAAAACTGCAGGCAGGCAACTTCCCATGGCAGAAATCTCAACTGAAACGTAAGCTTCACAGCAGTGAGAAACCATTTTCTTGGTTGCTAAGGCCATGTTCTTAATTAATGTGGTTAATGACACCTGCATCTGAGAACCAGGGTTAGCCAAGCCCAGCTATGAGCAGCTGCACTGCAAAACCAAACCTGACTTACTGTTCCGGCAGTAAAGCTCCATTTAAAGTAAAGCAGCCATGCTAGAGCATATCTACTCTGGCACCTATATCTGCTTGTTCTTACTACTACAGTAACCAGAAGCACTCCATGCTTGTTTCCACTGCATTACAGAGGAGCTTGTCTTACCTTCTGAGCACTGATACCATGAGGGGAAAAAAGGATTTTCAGCTCTTTAGAAAACTTCACAGAAAAGTGGTCATCACTCTGGGTGAACTCTTCTCTTAGATTTTAGTCTGTGGCTCCAGGACAGCCTCTGTCCCAGGGTGAAAATACCTCTCTACTAAGCTGAGACGACTTTGTGGGTAAATGGTAGTTCTAATGCCTGAGTAAGGGCCTGACCTCATTTTGCAATAATGACATTCTGTAATTGCATACGCAGACTGTGTTGCCATCTCCTTCCAAAGATCTTGAGCCTTCTACCTGCAGAAAAGGACTTTTTCCTGGACTGCCTGTTCTAATTAAATCGATAAATATATATATTTTAGTATGGATAGTAAATATTTTGGGGAACAGAAAGGGATCTTGGACTTGGCTGGAGCACCTCCAAACCAGGAGGGATGGCAGCTGCATTGCTACAGCCATGGCTATGTGGCTGGCTCCATGTTCTCCACCTCACTTCGCCTACTTACACCTCTTGAGCCAGAAGAGCCGGTACATCCGCAGGCCTCAGAGCTGTACGCCTCAGGCTTTTCTTTATGCCTGATTATGTGTAAAAGCCATTACAGGAGGTAGGAGCTCTCCTGTGAGCACTTACCCATAGACACAAGTTCAACCCAGGTTTGTCATTTAGAAATTATTCTGCACCACTGTACTACAGTTCGGCACTCCCAAGAGTGAATTTTATAGCAGCTTAAACTGATCTATATCTAGGCTGCTGCAGTCTGCCCTTTTCACCCTAGTCTGCACATTGCCTTATCTTCAGAAGTATGTTATCTCAAGAACATGGGTTTACTAGTAGCACACAAAAGTTTTAAATAAAATTTTATATTGCATGTATGTAGCATCACCCATTTTGATCAGTAATCTGAGCTTTGAGCATTTTCTTTAGGAGTGGAAAGTGAAGATCAATTAATGTATTTTTGATGCTATATATTTTTCAAAGAATCAATATAATGTCTCATGTTCCTCCACACAACAGAAAGGGAAACGTTCTCTTTTCTCAGTATTCTAAGCCCTTCTTCAGTTAGTGCTCTACCTAAAAGCTCACTCTGCTTTTTCTCCAGGCCTTACTACAAGTATATCTTTAGTGTTTTTAATGTTCTTCACTAGCTATTCTGCATGCTTCTATGGTGTTTTTACTGCTTCTCTCAACCCATAGTTCTTCAAAGCAACATGTATTCAGATTCCACCCACATAATTCATTCAAATCCTAATGTGGACCTGGCAGTTTTTAGCTTTTTGCATGTGTCATCAGGTCAAGCAAAGAAGAAAAGCCTACTGTTAAACCTCAGTTGCTACCGCCTACTTAACTGCTTTAAGCTTGCAACTGTCATATCCACACATAATTGCCAGATATTAACTAGTGAAGACAAGACCACTCAGCCAGATAATTCTCAGATAAATTCAGCTCTCTTTTACATAAGTATAAACTCAAGGTAAATGTGTGACGTTATTCTGCCATTTTCAGGAGAAAAGCAGAAACCAGATTTACTCACAGGAATCATGTCCTGCCATTTGTTGTTTCTGCCTGTTTGTTCTGCTGCATCATGTTCTGTCACAAGCTGATGGAGATACCTCTGAATATTGCTGGGAGCCCCTCTTACTGATCTGTCTAAAACATCTTCATTCTTTGGAAAATGACTTCCCTTGATCCATCCTAACTTTGATACTTGCTGAAGTTTATGAATAAAAATATCTGGGGAACTGCCACTGGTGGTGCCATTTGCCACCGGAGAAGGTGGGTCCCTCCGACTCTGGTGTAAGCACAGTGATGAAACCGAGAAGAGCCTCTGGCATTGTGTCTGCATTCTCACCACAGAGCTCTGATCCCAACAGCTGATGTGCTGCTGACAACTTTATTCCTGTAACTGGCAGCCAAAAGTTTGATCTAGTGGCATCTCTTCAGCTGAAACAGCTTCCTTTAAATGTTTCATGTTTTCTGATGTTTCTGTTATTATTTATATTAAACAATGCATCTTAAAACACGCAGGAGCTGTCAGGCAATGTCTGAGCTAGGAGTTCCCCCCGTGCCAGAAACAGTGAGGCCTGGTTTCCTAAACATTTGTGTTTCATGGCTGCCTGAGCTCTGCTCAGAGCTTTCCTCGTGGCTGGGGCATGTGTGGTTTCTTCATGGCTGGGGAATTCTGTGTGAATAGGCTTTTGTCATAACATAGGAACTTGCACTACAGCCTTTTCCCTGAAGGAGACAAGGAGAAGAGGGTGCTTACACGATCTTTCTCTTGTACACAGCCATCTATTTTCACAGAAAATTGGTAGGCGCTTTCTTATGTTTGAAAACTCTGGGTTCTTTTTTCAAATTTGACAAAATTATCTAGAGAAGAAGGGAAAAACAGACAGATGGTGTTAAACCACATTAGCCTAGGTTTTTTTAGCAAGTCAAGCTAAAAAGGAAAGGGACTAAGTCAATTTTTTCCTGCTACACTTTCCTATAAACCGGTCTTTTCAGAGGTGTAGTGACAGAACTGTGCTGCTGCCTTTGTAACTGACTGGTCCTTCTTCCCCTTCCGCATCTCCTGATCCCCATGGATGCCTCTTATTTGGAGGAGGCTGTGAGGAGTGGGAGGGCAGGGACAGCTAGCCAAGGAGGAGAATACCATATGTGTTAGAGCCACAGCTATGTGTAAAGAGGGAAGTTTGTAAGCGGACCCATTTAGTTTGTACAAGATGTGGGCAAACAATATTGAATGTGTCAGAAATAGGTATACTCTTTGTATTTGCACTGTACTTGTGCTCTTTACTATGCCATTTATTGCATGAAGGAAGCGGGGGGATGGAGGAAACAAGCATTTGGCCTTAAAATCCAGCCTGGAACATGTTATTTATACTTTTTCAGTAGGTAGACAGAATAACTAAATTACTGGTATTAGTAGTATCAGTATTTAGTAAAAGGCTTTGTCTTCAATACCAAACAAGACATGGTGTTAGAGAAGTATTGAAGGTCTTTTACTTATCTCACTGTAAGAAGCTGATGGAGACAAGGTACAAGCTGTTTCCACCATGGTGTTGCTCAGATGTACCTTCTAGGTTGGCATATACTCCATGACCTTGTGTGGTAAGAAACTACCTGCATCTTTTCTCCACTAGTGAGTTGACAGTAGATGTTAGTTGTAAGTGTTGCTTTAGAAGACCCATCTATGTAAAAACTGAAGACATACTTGTCATAGAGGAACAAGGAATGAATAGGCTTGTAAGGTTTTTAAAATGCTGTAGTTGTAGTTTGGCAGGTTGAGGACATTTTGAGAGCTGCAAGTAGGTGAAAGATAAATAGATGGCAGTAGGCAGAAAACACAATTAGTTTGTGATCTAGAATACACATTTGTCTTTTAGGTCCGTTAAGGATCCTCTTTTCAGGTGAAGGAGAGCCCCCAAAGCTGTCATTAGTATTAGTTCCTATAAACTCTGTATGATTTAGCAGATACAGGACAACCTACAACCTGCAACACAGTACATGGCAATATATAACATTCAAGTGACACTGCTTTTATAGCTATATACTTAGAAAAAAATTTAAAAGCCCTTTCCTAGAATTATGTCTTGCCAGGGAAAGAAGAGAGAGGAAAGTGAGGAAAGTACTGAGCATGACTCTCTTTAAGGACAGGCAATATTTCATACTCTTGACCACTTACCCATTTCTGCTTTTTTCAAACCCCAGCTGCATAATCCTGCCCTCTGACTGCCAGTACAGAATTTTGTATTCATAGGCACAGGGAAGATGCAATTATTTGGGAACTTTATCAGTGCCATTTCTCAAATCATCAGACAGCCTGAACAAAGATCACTTTCCGTGCACCATCTCCATGTCGCACTACCCAGCATGTCTCAGAAATCGCACCTGTAGAGGGAGCAGAAGTCACAAAAGAGCTCTGAAAATCCTGACCTGCCATGGCAGCACAAAGCAGTGCCATGATTCTGGCCACTGATGCTTCTTTTTGTCAAGCCTCTTCACCCCTCAGGTGTGAAATGAGGATTAGAGAATCTGCGCATATTGGTTTTCGGGTTTTGTGGAGATGAACAAAAGGGAATTCACACTCTGATCCTTATGGAAAAAAAGGCAAACATTCTTTCATTTTTGGAACATAAAGATTATGCAAAAAGTGTGTGACTAAAGCCTTTAGTAGTTTTCTATGGCATATATGAATATTTATAACATTTAGAAACCTGGGTTTGGAATGGATTAGAAGATAATGTGCTGGCCTGCTGCCACTATTCCAGACTGCATAAAACTTGAAAGGGTATTGTTGTGTATATATAGCATGCTGGTAGTGGTGGTTGCTTGTTATATTCTGCAGTTGGTTCTATTTCAGAAAGATCCAAATTTAGGTTTGTATGGCTTTCTTAGCACAGTGAGTAAACAGAGGTTAACTGGAGGTAATCCTCTATTTGAAGAAAAATTGTAAGGAGCTGGCAATTAAACTTCCATCTGAACATTTTCTCTGTACATGTTTCTAGTTTTCTTAAATCAAAAGAAGACAATCCAACTTATCTACAAGATTCAGGAAGGGAAATTCACTTTCGCTTCATATGCTGTCTTTCTGTTCAATTTGCACCTTCCAGAGAGGAGCTCTTTTGAGTTTATATTAGACAATACAACAGCACTTGGAAAAAAGCAATGTGAAAGGAGCTCTTCAAGGATACATAATGCTCCAGAATCTCCCCATTGGGTTGCGATGCTGTCTTCTGGCCACAGTTTCTCCATTTATTCTGCGTTAACCCACTTCCTCATTCCTTTGTGTTTCATCATTGCCAGGATACTTCTGAATGCACAAACTGAATGAGATTATCCTCAGGAATAGGCAAAGTAACTCCTTAAAATGAAGCCTGTTAGCCAACTGAAGGAAGCCAGGCAGTTCAGCCTTTAACCAGAAGTCAGACGAATTCATTGCCACTTCGGTTTTCCTTGCCTGGAATAGCCCAAACAATGAGAAATTCTGAAATAGTGAAAACTTTTTGAAAACCTTCACTACACACATATTTGTCTTTCAGTACAATACAGCATTACAGTACTTATTCTGAATGCTATGCTTTTTTTCAGAACAAATTCCCCACAGAAAGAAAAAAAAAAAAGAGTAAAATGATTCCACAGAACACACTTCTTTTGATAAATCTTAGTTTTCACCTAGAAGCTCAATACTAAACTAATCAAACACTGAGCCTACAGTCTAGCTCCAAAGATCATTATGAAATGAGGCTTCAAAACCTAAACATTTACAGGTATGAAAAATTAGGGTGTGTATTAACAATCCATCTAGAAAGCACATCAAGCGACACTATATATCTTCATAAAAATGAAGTGTCCTTAGCAAAGCTTCCCTTGAAGTTAGATGCTCTTGAAACTTCATCTGGTTGGCTGGTGCAGTTCAACTTCATGGTCTTTTCTTGAAATAGTTATTTTAGGGGAGGACTTTTTGAAATGGTATAAATCAAAATAGTAGCATCACGTAACAGAGCCAAATATGAATCCATAGCGTTATGAGACATTCATGTTTACATGTTCCTGTTGTTTTGATTTTCATTTGATTGGGTTAGACTTGAAGAACCAACACTGTAATATGCAGTGCGTTCTGTCTCAATCCAGTATTATAATGGGTGCTTATCTTTGAGTATTTAAGAGGTTCCATTGAAGTCAATGGGGCTTATTCACATGATTAATGCTAAGCACATATGAGAATGTTTGTAAGGTAAGTGCCTTAGAAAATCTGCTTGAAGAGGTATGAAAATTAACATAGGATAAAAATTATTCTTACTTGAAATCTACTTATTTTCCACATGTAAATACATATGACTATAGGAACAATATAAGCAGACCCATATCCAAATTCACTAGATCTTTTGGGAACTTGTATTTTAGAATTAAAATATTTTAGATCAGTTTCAAAATAGCTACATTTAATTTGATTATACAATGTGTAATCCACAAAAATGTAGTGCATGATATATCAATAGTGTTTCTAATGCTGACCACCAGCCACACCAATTTTTGTATGCTTGACAGTGCATTAAAATGTCTAAGATTATTCAGTATGTGTGTAAGGAATGTTTTACATTGGTGCTTCCCATGTCTGGAATGACAGTTTTCACAAAGGTATTTTATTGTAACATCATTTTCATGTAAGATTACAATTGTGTATTAATTTCGAGGAGCGTATGCTTTAGGTTTTACTGTTTACTAGCAAGAAATACATCATTCCATTGTGTGAGGGCTTATGACTAGCTTGTTAATCTCACACAAAATTTCAAGAAGGTATGAAGCAGCCTGGTGAGAGTGCGCTGTGTTAAAACTTGTAGCTGTGTTGTAATTGTTGGACCATGTTAAAGTGCTGGAACAAACATTAGACTCTGATTAGGAATAGCATTTCCCTCCTCTGCTTTTTCTTAATCTAAGCAAAAGAAACTGAAACAAACATTGTCCTTACAACAGTGATTGAATCAAACTATCTAGCTAAGGAAGCCAGTTTTACTGCTGAAGTTTCAATTTATTTCATATTATGCAGAACAACTAATTTTGCCCCCACACTGGTGGGTGTATTACCTGTGTGGTGCTAATCACACAAGCCAGTTAAAATTTTGCAGTCCAGAAGTAAATCTGAAATGTTTTGCTTTATGACTTACCTTCATTTCTGTTCTTAAAAACTATTGTAAAACAGTGTCTGATTTATCAAAGCAAAATGTATTGATTAATATTTTCTTACCTAAGTGAGTGAAGCTATGGCTTATTTACTGAAGAGCAAGCACAACCAAGAAGGACTGAAGTGACTTCTGCTTTTTTTGTGACTTGCCAGTAGAAGTGTCTAGCAAAAATGAATCCACTTTTCATGTTGGATTAGATATACTTGTGCAAGCTAACACTGTCTAACAGGTCTGCTTGATGAAACTTGCCTACAAGGCCACAGTTCTAATGGTGGCCTTCTCACCTGTGAATCGAGCATACTTCCAGAGGGTATCAGTAAACATACACCCTCACACGCTCATTTTATGCTGTCATTTTACAGGAGGGCTGCATTTTAAACTCAAACTCATATGAAAGGTGAAAGCTCTTTAATTGCTGAGTATGTTCTAGAAACGACCTTGCTGTTAGGAACTGATGGTCTTAAAATTAACATGTGTACATACTCCAAGGTGTTCTACATGATATTCCTTTTACTTTTTAATGTGGGAAGATGTTATCAAAGACATGCACATTGAAGGGGCTGATTGTCATTCTTCGTTAAGGCCTTTTACAGCATCCAAGCAAGGGAAAGGGTTCTCTGAGCACATATAAATTACACTCATGCTCATTTAAATCCTGTGTAAATGCAAATCACACCCTACATATGAGGGTATCAGCATTAAAATTATATTTCCATTCATATGACTGCTTTTATTGGCATACGTCTTCACACTCAGGCACAGTTAGGTGCTTCGTTTAAATGATGATGAAATACAGTGCTTGTTCTCTGATTGCATCCCATCTTTTCTTTCCAGCGCATGATTGCCAACACTGTCAGGACGGTGAAATTCTGCAGAAGCCAATCTTTCAGTAAGTGTATTACAACATCTGCACAGTCAGCATTATCATCAGTAGCTACAGTAATTACAGCTAATTCTGTGTGTACCAGAATTGAAAAGCCTGGTTTCCAGTGATTCTTCCATGTTTGGATCCTCTGATGTTTCACAGGGTGAAATATCCTTCAGGAAGCTCTAATAAGCCCCTTCTCCTCCATCTCTTTTCCAAGCATGTGAAGGAGCTAAATATCTGTGAGGTCTCTACACATCTGTCAAATTAGAATTGGTTCTAATTAGCCAGTGTGTTCAGAAGTGGTTGAAATAAGGCTAGCAGACAGATACATGCAAGATACTTGCTTGGATAAACCCTGTTTTTATAGGAAACCAGTCCAGAAACATGACGTTTATAAATGACATAACTGCATAAGGTGATGAACTTAAAACCTGTTTGTTCGTGTAATTACCAGAACTTACTTGAGGCCATGTAAGATGACAGAGCTGTATGGTCAAACAGGCTTGCTCTGTGGGTCTCATCCCATCTAGGTGCACTGTCAGTACCAGTCACGCTGGCATTTCCTCAGCGCTTCATTCATTTTGCGCCAAGTTGCAACTCAAGTTGCGCCGGGGAGGTTTAGATTGGACATTAGGAAAAACTTCTTTACTGAAAGAGTGGGTAAACATTGGAACAGGCTGCCCAGGGAAGCGGTTGAGTCACCATCCCTGGAAGTATTTAAAAGACGTGTAGATGAGGCGCTTAGGGACATGGTTTAGTGGTCATGGTGGTGTTGGGTTGACGGTTGGACTCGATGATCTTAGAAGTCTTTTCCAACCTTAATGATTCTATGATTCTAGAACAGAATAAATAATACAACACAATACGTTATTACAAAAATAGTTTCTTTCCATCTGGGTCAAAGCTTAACTCGAGAAGATCAAGTTAAGGGAGTGTTTTTTTTTTTCTTCCACCATCAAGGTTTTTCTGGCTATGTATCTTTTAATTTTAATGTATTAAGCACTAGTGAAACCTCCGCATATTTAGAAATGAAAGTGGATTTTCACTATACATGATATAACAAAATATCAGTATATAGATGTATTATATCTAAGTCCCATGCTTTTTGTGTGTGTCTATGTGTATTTATATATAGTAGATGCTTCAGTATCTTTCTTTTAGAGAAGTCTAAGTTACCTAACACATATTTCATTAAATTGCAAGCTGTTCACTGTCAGGCTGAAGATGCTCAGATTTAAACTCAGTGGTATTTCATCATTGTTGTTGGAGTAGGTATAATGCGGTTATGTTAAGTAATGTAAACACATAGTAAATTTTGAGGCTTGAACGGAGCAGCCACTAAGCACTAGTGTTACAAATATTTAATACTGAGCTAGAAATGGGAATATTTCATGAAAGGAGGCTTAAATCAATTATACTGTTTTAAATCTGTGTGAAAGCTGCTGGTTCAAAAGCAGATGGGCAGCTTTAAATCATACTAGTTAGCTATATAATTTATAGCTATTGACTGGTAAGGTGATGTATAAAACTGTAACCAAGGGCCATCAATTTGAGTAAATGTAGCCAAGGATATCTGAGAGAAAAAGTTAATTTGTGAGGGTAGTAACCAGAAAGACTATCAGATATGGAGGAAAGATTTCAAAGAGAGCGATTTCTAAATATTTTTTAACTCACCAGGATCTGGCATTTCCTGTGACAGCTTGTAAAGAGTTATGCATTCTGTTCAGGCATTTGTTCGTTTAAGGGTATCAATCCTACATCATCTCTCTTTCACCAGATCCCGACGCAGCGCTAACTAACAAGAACCATCAGGATGTTCGGAGCTATGTGCGGCAATTAAATGTGATTGACAACCAGAGAACTTTATCACACATGTCTCACCGACTAGAACCGCGTCGAGCATAAACATTTGAAGCAATGATGAGAAATTATCTTTTATCCTGTCAAGGTCACTTGTTAAGAACTTCACTTTCTCTGCTACTGCACTGCCACTACAAAAATAAGCAAAAACATATTCTAAGGTCTTACGCAACGCACAATGTACCGGCCTGTCAGAGAACTTTGGCTGAGGAAGAATTTATGCACTGTAGCTGTACAGGTGGCCATGTTGTGAACTGTTAATTCATCTTAAAGTGTAGTAAATGATTTCTCATATGGATAAAAAAAGGCAAAAGATAGAATAGTTAGCTTCTAACAATTCTAAGGGAGGTAGTGTTTTTCTCCCTAAATAAAAATCTGTATTTTATGATTTATTCTCAGTTCCTGTTGACCTCAGTAGAAAACATAGGTAAGCATCTGATGAAAGAATGTAGGTTCAAGAGAGGTCCAAGGTATAGTTCCATTCAGAGAAGACTTACAAATATTTCCATTTGAAATACAACAGATACTAAGAAAAACTTCTAGTCTTAATCGTACTGCCTACTACTGCAAGCAGTGTGGCCATTTCAGAAAACTGACAGGACTGAAAATATTTTGAATGATAAATAGATTAATCTGTGTTTACATTTTACTTCTTTTTTTAAACTACCGATCAGGTTTTTACAAAATTCCATTACGACAGTAAGGTTGTCGAAATCAATAGCATAAAGGTAGCAAAGGACTGGTTCAAAAAGAGCACAATATGCACAAACGGATTTCAAGAGAATAATTTCCTGGACATTAAAACCTTAAACTTCAGCTATAATTAATTGTGGCTGGTTAACACATATTTTCTGGTTCTAAGCATTTACAAATATCTTAATTTTCATGCAATTGTTTTGCACTTTCAATGGACTGTAAATAAATGTTAATTCATTATGTTCTAGAATATTTATTTATGTAATAGCTATTGTGCCAAAATAATCCAGTTTTATTTATTTTGTTTAGCATGTTATGGGAGTGCAGCTTTTCTCTTTATACTTTGTGTGCACTTTATGTGTAGGAATTGTGTGATGTGTAGTAAATATTTTCTGTAAATAACACGCAGTACCTTATTAAATGTAATTGCCGGAAAGGTTTAGTCGCTGGCCTTATTTGCACTTTCAGCTTCATTCCTGCCTAAATATCGATGCTATTAATTGGCTGATATAGCAAACTTCGCTTGTCATTTGCTGGGCCTCGAAACCACAGTTAGCCTACATCCATTGTGATATGGATGACCAATGTAAAGCCAGTCAGATCCATCCCTGCCACAGGGGATGACAGTCTTGCAGTGATGTAACACTATGGTTTTATTAGCTGGTTTGTTTAGAGTTTCTAAGGAGGCCCCCTGCCCTCCCGTGTAAACAGAAAACATTTCAATTGGAAAGGTTTAAATGAAGAAGGGATGTATTCTTAATTTCAGCTATCTGACTAATTTGTCCTGCTCGGTCACTAATGTGAGCACTGCAAGTTACCTGATCTTGGACAGGATTTTACCTCGGGTTGGCTAACTCAAATTGAGACCTCGGCTAATGTGGCACTCAAGAGGCCTCTGGCTTCGGTCACCCCAGGGAGGTCTATCAGGTCCTGCAGCCATGAGGGAAGAGGTGATCTGGCACGTACCCTTTCCCCTCCAAGATGATTTGTGCTCGCCTGAATACTTCGTGGAAGTGGAATGGCTGTACTACTGCTGGGCAAGCACTGATGGTGGCCAAGTGTGTGCCAAGGGAATGATGATGTTCAAATGGCAAAAGGCTTTCCTATTGCATTCACACCGGCTCTTCTGCAAAGCTGGATGTCATAAAACTGATTAAGCCTGAAATTACAAGTTGCAACTATTATCTCATAATTAAGCTTCAGAGATGACCTCATTGATATAGTCTACATTTTGCCTCAGACGCAGAGTATACTTTTCTTGGCATTGACTATGACTGTGTGGAGTCATTATACACATAAAGATTATTTATCTATAAAAATAATTACATCCTTTTAGTCAAAACATAAATTCTGCAAAAGCTGAGAGTCACCAGGGAAATGCTGACACACAGAACCACTATCTGCTCAGTACCTGCATTCTGCAAAGGAAAGAATTACACAGTTAAGAAATATTCTGCAGCATGATGAAATAATTTCTTTTAACTTTGCTGTCTGACTAGAAGTTTAAGATGATTCAGAGGAAAACCAGCTAATAACATAGAGACAAATTTGTGTCTTATTATTTCAAGTGAGAAATATTTCTTATTTCCATTTGTACTGCTCTATGAATATACTTCATATGGCTTTTTCAGATACAGAATCTTCCCAGAAGCAAAGTATGCAGTAGAATAAACTACAGGGACACAATTAATTCAAAAGACGTTTTTATCTTTACAATCAATTTATAACATTTGTGAGTTCATGATTTTATTTGTTCCAGATTTGTTCCTATTGTTTGGACTTACATTTATTTCTGTGTTAACTGGTTTATAAAGCTGCCAAGTTTCAGCTTGGCTCTGCACATAGACCGATTCTTCATCCATTTAGTATGTTTTTATCCCCTTGGTTTATTCTTTTATTCCTTAGAACCTCTAACTGTTTTACTTATTTGTTGCCAAACAGTCTCTATCGTGTAGATATATCCCAGTGATACAACTAGAGGTTTTATGGTACCTCCAGATCACCAAATGAATGCAGTTTACCTACTCAATGAAACTGGTATCTGGCATTTTTTAATTTTCCAATAAAGGGTGCTGTATAAATAACAAATGTTGCTATCTCTGTACCTATCTGACTCATTCAAGTGGCTCAGCTAGTTGCTGTGGTGCTGATCACAGTCTACATAGCTAGAGATTAAGTGAATAAAACTACCTTCTGGCTCGGGGATCCATACTGGGCTTCTCTCGTTCCCTGTGTTGACTTTACAACAGGGAGGCAGCTGTAGATATATTGCTCTTGCTGTATAAAGTCTAAGCGACTGTTGCAATAGTGTGAAGAATGAATAGGAACTCAGGAAACATTTAAATGTCAAAACACCCATGTCTTCACCCTGTGCTTGCAGCTGCGAGTCACAACTTGATCCTACTTCAAGGGAGAGACACCCTGTATCTGCTGGCTCTTGGGGCCGGTCTGTGCCAACACAGCCAAGAGAAGGAGGGCCGGGCGATCCCCAGACCTGCACCGCTGATGGTCCCTACTGCTTTAGTCGTGGCACGCTGCTTGGCCTGATTTTGGCCCATGCCAGCTAGCACCAGCCATTATTTGTTGGGGAGCATGCACCAGGGACCATTGCCAGTGGGAAATATGGACAAACCTGTCAGGTCTGTCTCCGACCCCTCCCCGCAGTCCTCCAGCGGGTCCCAGGAGCCTTTGCACCTCCATCACACCCGCTTGCACGAACAGCATAAATGCTGCAGCACAGCCCCCTCCTTATTTCAACACTTCAGACTGAAAAAATAGAAATCTGTTCAAAATTGATTATGTCTGAGGGTCACAGCTGGTACAATGCCGATATGGCTGGTCCATGCTACTTGGCCTCAGGCCCCAGAGCCCCTGACCCTGTTTTATTTACTGGCAGAGTCATAGCTATAGTTTTTAGATGCGAGGTGATGGGCGGCAGCGTCCACGACAAACATCTGCTGCCGGGGACCAGTGAGGCTGCAGACCCCACGGAGCCAGGATGGTGACACCCTGGGCACTTTGGAAAACGTTCAGCATGACAGGGTTCCACTGCGGATGCAGCTTTTTGCTCAAGCAGCAGTACAGAGCACAAACACCTCTATCTAGGGCTACAGAGCCTAAAGAGTCACAGGGTACAGCTCCCCCCTCCCCTGGCATATTTGGCTACTGTTGCTTTGTTAGGACTTGCTGTTTTTCTCAATGGCCAGGCCCAGTGCTGGCCATCGCTAGACAGAGGGATAAGGGAACAAAGGTTAAATACAGGGGGGCTGAATCCAACATACCAGGAGGCTACTACTGTTCAGTAAAGGCAGGATCCAAAATATTTTCCCTGGACATCGTGTTCAAACCCGATCAGCCACAAAGACATCACAGTGGCAGATAAAAGAGTTCAAATGTATTTGCAGGACTCTGTAGACGGAGGGTTTGGGTTTTTCCTCCTAAGGAAAATGCTATGAAGGCACACAGCCTCTGCAGACCAGGTACAGAGAGACAGAGACAAAAATCCCTCATTTGAAAGAGACACTGGCAAAACAACCCTTTAAGTACAAGAAGTTTAAATACAATTTAGAAATCTTACAAAATAAGTTAGAGAGAAATCAAAAGGTTTAACCTGCAGGGGTACCAAAAGAGATAATGAATTTTGCTTTAAAAAAAAAAAAAAGAAATATTTTAACAAAATGTAATAGCAGAAAATTATCAGTCTAAATTGTTAACATAGCTTCTTAGTAAGGTCAACTGCATAATATACAGTACCTTAACCTCTTCCAGCAATTTTTAAACACCACGCAGCTTAAATAGACTACTTCTGAATTCAGCGGTATTTCTTCTGGGAGCTCTGAATGCAAATCAAGAGGTAATAGTGGAAGAAAATTAAAAGATGTGCTATTCTCATTTCATTTTTTGTACTGATAATAAGGAAAGCAGCATAGAGAGTGATATGGCAAAGTGAACCTCTAACTTGAATAGCTTTTCTTTCACTGTTAATCTGAAATGCATTACACCCTGCCTTTTCAAATAACCATAATGTTCTTTACTGTAGCCTGCATTAAAGTTTAGCAGGCACAAGCAGCAGCTGTCACCAGAGGTCAAGGTATTAGCAATCAAAGAAAATAATGACCAGATTAAAAAGTTATCATTAAAATTACTAAACCAGAAACTTTTACAGCAGCTTATCTTCACCTCAAGCACAAACAGCCAGCGGAGGCCTGCCTCCAGGGCTGTAGCTGCGCCCAGAGAACTCCCAGCCATCCTCGGACGTCTCCCCGCGGTGGTGCCATGGAGCCGGCCGGCCCTCGGCCAGGGTGACGGCATGGTTGGCCTCAGCGGCCGGAGGGGACCCTCACCCCTCTGCCTCTCTTGGGAACAGGCACTGCTGCCCCAAACCAGCTCCCGTAGGACAGGGAGCTCCCTGACACAGCTGGTGGCTAAAACCTGATCTCCAGCTTCTCACCCTGGTGAAAGGCTGTGGTCAGTGTGCCATAGGAGCACGCAGGGTACATCCTCCATGCATTTACCTGCATGGCATCCAATAACATGTAAGACTGGCTCTTACTTCATCTGCCCCATGCACTGCTTTAGCAATAAAATACAGCTCTCATACAGCACCTAACTAAGGAAGTAACTTGTAAATTCACAAAGGAAAGTAACCCAACGGTCTTGGTGTTTTATGACTCAGGTGATGGGGGGACTACTGTAAAAAG